CCTTACTGACTTTGATAGAGCAACGCTTTGGGGGCCCTTTGTGTTGATGAGGTGCAACTCAAAATGAGAACAGCAGCTGCAAGCACACATTAATAATTGGATTGTAAGAAGTATGAAAAAATTGGAAGTCACAACACACCAAAATGGAATGCATAAAAATCGAGATTCTAGGCATTAGTGAGCTGCATGGACTAATATTGGCTATTTCATCATTCACTGTGCCGGGAAGGACGCATTCAAGAGGAATTGTGTCACATTCATTGTCAAAAATTATAGATCTTTCATAAAGGCCAATGCTGTCTGTGAGAGGATACTAGCTGTACACCTACCAGAAAGAACATTAATACAACTAGTATTCAAATTTAGAAATCAATCACTAAAGCTAGTCATAAAGAAATCGAAGACTTCTATCTACTTCTTCAGCCTGACATTGACTAAACATGCCATTGAGATGTGTTGCCATTTACTGGTGATTGGAATGTGAAAGTTGGAAATAAAAAGAAAGGACTGGTATTTCGAAAATATGGTCTTGGTGATAGACACAATGCTCAAAAATGCATGCTAGAACTTTTCAAGACCATTGCAAACAAATTTTTTGACAACGTATGTGCTGACTACACGCGTGGACCTCATCAGATAAACAGGAATCAAATTGACAGAGAAGAAATGATGGAGACACTTAATCTTCAGCCAAAAGAAGGCTGAGGAGTGAAAGAATACTAATGCAAATGTTTGAAATGAAATGAAGAAGCACTTACTAGTGTAGGACAACTGTGAAACAGATCATCAATTGCTTACATGCAAATTCAGGTTAAAGATGAAAAAAATTTAAATAAGTCCAGGAGAAAAAAAAGAACCCTGCGTATATCCCAACCAAATTCAGAGACCATCTCCAGAACAGGTTTCACACAATGAGCATTAATGACCCCAAACCAGATTAGTGATGGAATGACATAAAGAACATCCTAAAGAAAGAACAAAATAAAAAAAAATTTTAAAAAAAGAAAGAGCAAAATGACAGAACAAGACCAAGGTGGATGACAGAAGAGGCCCCGAGACTTTCACAAGCTAAAATGAATGGGAGAAGTGGCGAATGCGGGAT